TTTTTTTTTTTGGTTAATCCAACGTTATCTTATTTTTTTTTAATCAAACTTGTGATGAATATAGTTTAATTAATGTAGGTATATTTTAAATTATTAACCTACTTATTTGGACGAAAAAATATGAATGATAAATATTAGTCACAAATTAGAATCTAGATATGTACATTTATTATATTTTAAGACTTATCATTTGATAAATTACAAACATGACACTAAACTTTATTGTCATGTAAAATAATTTGATAAATGTCAGTATTGCTTCAAAATTGTTCCACAATATTTATGTAGGGATATGTTTCAAGACTTTATCAATATGACTATACCAAGTCAAGTGACATATAAAGAATTAATGCCTATTAATACCGTTTGAACTTAAATAATAATTCTAATGACATAAACTGATAAGAACAAAATATAATTTAAGTTATCTTTAAATGATAAATATTGATTTAGAGTAAATCAAACAACTAGTGCTAACAAAATCAGAACAGGAGAATTAGAAATATAAATTAATTGTATATATATTATATAAGATTGACAAGTAGAGACTAGAGAATGAAATAATGTCAGGTACTAGATCCAAACTGTGGGGGGAGGGGTACATTACAAAAAATTATTTTTTTTGAGTCAAATTTAGAATGAGAAAAAATTAACGCCCATTAAGTCTTTGGCATATTATACACTACAATAGGATTTGTATTAGACCCTTGTATCAAAATATCATAATTATTAATTACCATACAATAAACTGCAAAATGTTAAGTTGACATTTGTAGTCGAAAAGATTTGTAAAAACCTATCACGGTTCAATAAAACACACACACACTATGAGGATCAAAATGATATGGCGACAACTACACGACGTCGGTTTCGGAACACTCGTCGATTGTGCAGAAAACCACCGACAAAAACATGTCAGTCGCGCAATAATTCTCTGACAGAGACACGCAAACAAGCCCACACGACTGCACTAGAACGTGGTGACGTACAAGCGGAATCGCAAAGAACAATACGGCGCGGGAGTGGAAGCGGTGTCAGTGGTGGCGGTGGCGGTGGCAGTGGTGAGCGGCGGCGGCAGCGGTATGCGCCGCGTACATTATAAAATCTCGATGCGATTGACCCCGGGCTGGAGGAAAACAAAATAATGAGAATACTAATAGTGGGCAAAAAAAACAACACCGGCCACCGATAGAGGAGTACTCCATACAAGTCATAATAATATCATCACAATCGTAGTTATTAGTTACTAGTTATTATCATTATCATTGATGTACGTACACAGTCAATAGCATAATACGTACAACGCCATTGTTATCGGTTGGAGAGACCGGGGAGTATAGGGAAAACTGAAAACAGACCGGGCTAAACAGCAATAATAACAATAGTAGGCATATTGTGGCGGATAGAATATGCGTTACCATCATTATTATAGATTTAGACGCATAGTCATGTTTCAATTGACGAGAGGAAATAATTTTGAAATAAGGTAGTCTAGTTGACTCGTAGTACGTCGTACAATACATATATAATTTTTTTTTAGGTTAGGTTGTCATGCACACACTTCTCCCCTCCCCCTTCAATAGGCCAAGACTGGGCGGAAACCAGTTGTGACAAAGGGTGCCCCACGGCAGCGGAATGTTGGGGGGGATCGAATTTTCATGAAAACCCCCGAAAGGTCACGGTGACGTCACTTCGCACTAAAAACCGAAATTATAGTTGTGTTACTCACGGAACCGTCGAAGAGGAGAGCGGCGGGGATGACGAAACCGATCGAGAAAAATTAAAACTCAAAAATATACTACATGTCTATCGCGATTCTAATACTACACGTTTTATTCGTTCCCGTACGTCGGAGGCAAAAGAACTTAATTTACAATTTTATCATTATCACTACAGTATGAGATATTACATTAAATTTATACTAAAAAGTAAAAATAATGTGTATGTATACGATTCGCGCTGTATATTATTATAATATATGCGTACTTCTGATAATTCTCCTTCGGAACCGGACGACCCGGACAAGTACATTTGATGATCAGGTTCGTCGTACTCGTCGTCTTGGTATTCCGACTCGGAGACGGACTGCAATCTTTTGTCGATGCAATTGTTGTCCGAGGGCTGGACGGGCGTCGGGGGCGTGAACGAGGGGCCGGCTGACGACGGTGCAGCCGTGGCGTTTCCGCCGCTCGATGTCGTGGGTATTTGTTCCATGACGACGACGTTTATCCGGCTCCCTTTGGTGGAAGGCCGACGGTCGCCTTTTTTCTTTAATTTACCGATTTTTGCGCGGGCGGTCTCAGGCACGGCACACGATACCGTAGACGACGCACACTAACCAACTACTAGTTACTACTCTATCAATTACGACGACACGACTGCGAAGCGGTGCACCAGTGCACCACGACTCGCGCGGCGATGACCCGTGCGCGACCGCGATATCAATGATCCATCACGCGCAACACAGTCGTGGTGGTATCACGGGTTGTCCGATAGTGAACAAAATGTGATATTATTTTTACGGCAACTGGGCCGGGGCCGAATATTATAACGTCGGCGGCACGAGATTCTTGCGGAATGAACGGTGTGGCCGGACGAGCGTGCGTACAGTCGTTTTGTCGAGGGGTTTACTGGCGATTATTTCGTATCGGCGTTTTTTCACGACGAATTATCAAAAACGAGTGCGGGATTGCGGAAAAATAGTTCGCCATGTCTACGACAGCGCCCCCCTCCTCGACCAGAAATTTACTACTACTGCTGTTTCTCCTGTTACTATTATAGTGTTACTACTATATTACTACTACTATTACTACTATTACTACTAAATACTACTACTACTACTATTACTATACTACAACTACTAATACTACTAGTTACTACTTCCACTGTATCGAAATACGTCGTTTTTTGTGCACGTTTGTAGCTCTATCTATATGACAATAAAATTATCACCGTCGTTATGGAAGGAACATAATGGTAGGAATTATTCTGTTATTATTAATTAATTAATTTGTTGTTAATATTATTATTATTCTGTTTCTGTCCCTGCATTTCAGCTACTAMACTACTACATACTTAAAATATGCTTGTCCATCATTCACTTATCCCAATTGTTTTTCCTCCAAGAGTCTAGACATTTGATTCTTAGAATTCAGAATTCGCTCGTCTTCATTGATTTGATTTTGATTCATTCATTAACAGTTACTGACTTACTGTGTTTCGTTTCGTTCTCATTCCACTTTTCCGAACCAAATGTGTGAATTAATTTTTCAAGTCTAGTGTATCATAAATTAGCCCGTATTACGTTTAGTCAAATCGTGGCCCGTATGATATTATTAAAATTCCATCATAACTTAATTTTTATTAATAATATTATTCATTACTAATTTTATACCACCCATTAATTTTTGATGATTCATTATCATTTATATATCACAGTGGCAAAAACTCAAACTACTTAAATTGTAGGACTGACGATTGACGACTTCCTCATTAATGTTTAAGCCGCAATAACGCCATTAACACAATCAGTTTTACTGAATATGCTGTACATTCTTAATATGGTCAGTACAGATCAGTGTCAATAACCTATTCTTTCATAATTTTACTACAGTATTATTTTATACAATTGAATATCAAATTATCAATACAGAAGAAATGTAATTTCTCATTATCCACTTCATTACAACAATAATATTATTATCGGTGAGCAGACTAACAACTTGATATCTGATTATGTTTCCATACTATGAGGTCAATAATTACACAAAGACAGTGGCTTAATTAGGAACTTGGTTTGGGTGGTAAGGGTATTATATGTTTTAGCAATATCTGTAAGCTTCATACAGTACCAATTATAAGAGGTCAGCAGTAAAATACAAATTTTGGGGAGGATCCCCCTTAATTACACCCCTGCTCTAGGATTGTTAATATGTTTACCTCAATATGTTCAAGAATAAGGAGCACTATTTATAATATTGTTTGTGTGATGGCAACTTTATGTACATTGCATTTAGTTTNAAAAAAAAAGTAGGTACGAAATTTAAATTTAAATTTAGAATACCTCTAATAATCTATATAACTAAATTTGTGCTTTAAGAAAAGATTTTCTGATATTCGCATTTTAAAGAGGCAGTCAACTGGCAATTTTAAGAGTACGCTACACATGCATAGGTACCTAACCTACCTAATGCTCATTCATATATTGTTGTCTCCGTTGTTGATACGTCTTAAATTTTCGTAGGTGACTTATAGGTACTAAATTTAGTTATATAGATTATTAGAGGTATTCTAAATTTAAATTTAAATTTCGTACCTACTTTTTTTTTTGTTTTTATCAATTATCCCGCGGCAACTTAGGCCATTGGGAAGGGGGTGGTACTGTAGGTTTATGGAGCGGTAAGGTGTGTTACACGTGGGTGAGTTTTGGCAGAATTTTTATTGGGGCACCCGTAGGATTCTGCCATGCCCCGGAGTGGGGGATGGTGGCACTTGTTCTACGGACACCGTGACTTGCCCGGAGAAAAATGTCGAGGATCCACAGCCACAGCCGACGCGTTAGACCGCTCGGCTACCTCGTCCCCCCCATTTAGTTTTGTTACATTACTATAACTTACATACAAATTATAAACATTAAAACATTAATACTCTATAATAAATGTAGACAAATTATAATTTACAAGGCACTTGGGTCACATAGAAATGGAAAAAAATTCAAAAAATAAGTATGATTAAAGTATGGAACAATAATCAGTTACATTTTGGATTTCATATTTACTATGTTTATTGAACATGATTTAATATTTTTATAGGTGATCATTACTGACCAAAAATATGTAATCAATGAACATTAAAACTATGTTCAAACACAATACTGCTTATTTATAAAGATCCTATTTAAATTAATAAAAAAACTGGCTTAATAAATTGCAAATATACAAAAATAAATATTTAAAAAACAAAATTATTTCCCATAAAAAAGTATAACAAACAACATTAACAACACTTTAAAAATCTACCATACTATATTATGTACACCATTAACCGTACATATTACGTCCTCAATTAAATAACAAATGTTTAAAATTTAAAAACTTGTAATGGAACTGGCTTATATTTTTTTAATACTCTTTCAAGAGATTCGCTTGATTTGAGACCAAACGTATCTAAACAATGTCGATCAATTAATCCAATAGATCCTCCAGATACAGACTGTAGGAATTTCCAATATGATGGTCTAAGGTTATGTGGTTCAAGTATAGCAGCATGAAATAAAATAGCAGTAGAAAAACAATGAAAGAATATATTTGCTTGTGGTAAATCAGGAAACAGCCCGTCGCTAGAACCTTTAATATACATTATCTGAAAACAAAATATAGTTGAGTAATTAAGACAATCTATACTGTATTTAATTATAATAATTTGATAATACAGTACCTGTAATGTTTTCAACATAACATATAAAGCAATAGTGTTATTACGATACAAACAAAATGTAAGACTTGCCAATGATCCAGCAGGAATACAAATATATTTTGAATCTTTACCTAGTAATCTTCTCATTACACATGATACAATCTAAAATATAATAAAACAAATTTAAAAATAACATACTATTAATATCAATCTTATTACAAATATAGCTACTCTATAAATGGAAGAAAATCCTCCAAGAAATGCTCCTAAACTAAATGTATCTGGGGATATCATTAGTTTTAATATATAACTCGGTTTCCGTAAAATTCTATTGGCTTGTAACAAGGACTTCAAACTTAATTGTAGAGTATAGCCAACTAAAAATAATCTTGTTCCTGACTAAAATTTAAAAAAAATGTGTATAGTTAACCATTAATAATTTTAAGTATAAATGTTTTACTCACACTAAGAATGTAATGTAAACAACCATAAGCATGTGGACATACATCACTGGTCCATATTGTTTTTAATTCACTGTCTATAGTACAGTAAGCTTGACGTATATCGGTAATTGCTTGTCGAATAGTATCTTGATTTGATTTCCCCAACTGAGGAGATTGAGGAGATAACAATGGTTTAGTATAACCATTTTCTTCAGAAGGACCAACAACAAACCTTTAAGATAAATGCAATTAATTATGTACCTATTATATATTATTCCGAATAAAATAATATTGCCAATCACTCAAATAATTGATACACTTAAGTTGTTTTAATATTTATTTATGATTGTTATGCTTCTGATAAAATATGTTATTTTTAATACTGCATATTATAACGCTGTAGTTGTTTTACATAACAAATTAAAAATACCAATCGCCCTGCTAAAAAAATTATTTAAGTAAGTCAGTATGATTTTATATGATTCTATTTAATTATATCTAATGTTATATTACTATATTATGTATAAAATTAAAAAAAAAAAAAATATTTGGATTATAAGTGATCTGCAACAAACTTTATAAATAATATCAATTTTATTTATGGACCTAACGCTGTCTAATCATYAAGATTATGCATTAAATTTGAAGTGAAAAAATTTAAGCCATAGACATCAACAMAATAATAGGGAGATTTTTTTTAAGTTTTGAAACTTTCTTTGAAAATTTTCCTCCTCTAAATACTTATCAATGGTCCTATGGTTTATGAAATTACCCACTTATCTTTAACTGCCCCAGTTGATCACCACAATGTAACCACCTATTATCCATTTATAGTTCCCCCAACATCCTTTTTAACACCAAAAAATTCTTTCAAACCAACAAAAAAATATCATAGATTATATATAATCTTTTTTATAACTATATAGGCTTTTAAACTTAAATTAAAGATTTTTTTTTATAAACAACTTATTATTATAATTATTTATCTTCTTTTTAATACCTAACAGTCAATACAAAATATTAAACAAAATTTAAAGGCAATCATTAATAATAAGTTGCTCTAACGATATTTAATTGACACCATAGGAATAATGAGATATTATTTAAAAAAATTAAAATTCTTTTTCTTCAAGATTTTAGAACATCATTTTGCTAAGCCCATGTCATTCTAATTGAGAACCACTGTAATATAATATAAAGTTCTAACCAGTTTTTAGTTATTCTCTATTTAAAATACCCAGAAGTAACAGTATACACAGTATAAGTATCCTATGAAATTTTTTTCACCGGGGTATTCAATATTTTATTGTATATATTGGTTTAATGAAAAATCTTAAATACATATGGTTAAACAATTGATGCTGTGTTCTAATTTGAATACGAATAAGTGACAATATAATTTATTAATATTTTTTTATATTTATGATTGAATTCTAATTAATACATGATAATTAAATGGTTATTGTTAATAATTATGTTATTTAATTTATACTAAAAAATGCGAACACTTAATGAAATAGGTTAATTTAGAATTTATTAATGGAAACCTAATTTTAAAATTGTTTATTTAGAGGATATCAGCACACTTTATTTTTCATCTCTGCGGCATACGTAATATAAAAAATTTGCATTCASCAAAACCAATTATGTGTTGTTAGGTATAGTATTAAAATGAATTGACCAATTATTATCAAACTTAATTTTACGATCATCTGTGCTTGAACATTGACTTTTTACAATATTTCAATTTTAAAGCGAGATATGAGCATTTTTAAAATGTAATATTTTAAATATTCATAACTTGAAAATGTAAATATAGTAAAAAGCAAATGTAAAAACACAGAAAATGTTTGACAGTAAGTTAATCAGTTAGCTTTAACACTGAATCTAAAATCCAACAGAAAGCTGGTTCTGCTAAACATAAATTTGCTATGTTGCATAATATGTCAGAGTAAAAAAAATAGTGAGCTGACCGCCTTTGATTTATGCACATTTTTCACACAACTAATAAACTTAAACTTTTAAAAGCACTATACACATGGAGTTAAATATTGATTCAATCAACTCGCTACTTTAAATTAGTTCATTCTTGAGGAAAACTATATACCAGTATATCAAATCATTTTTAATTTCATAAATTAAAAAAAAAATCGTATTTACCTTAAAAGGGAATATATTGAATCTGTTTTATTATGCTGTCCTCTAAAAATATAAAGCAGTAGTGTAATCGATGACCCAAAAATAAACAAATCTCCATAAGGAATCGGTTTTATAATGCCTCTATTAACCATCATATTATAGAATGTTTCTGAGGCCTTAAAATAGAATATTACTTTTATATACATTTGGATTCATCCAACCATTATAATTTAAATAAAAATTATAATCTAATATATATTTATCGTGTGATGAACTTGGGTGTCAAACATAAAAGTAATGAAAATTACTTACAACATTTGTTACATAGAGACTTAGTAATCCTCGTCTGGATGGCCTTTCAATTAATATAGCAACTAGACTGGATAGAAAACATGGAAGAAATGCTACAGTCAGCACATTATATTTCCCAAATAATCTTCTGAAATTATATAATATTAACAGACAATAAACATTAAATACTACTTTGTATATGTTTTATTTAAAAAATAATCATTATTATTAGAAAAAAAATGTAATAATTATGAATTTCATTAGATTAAATTACAGATAGACTGATAGCAACATTAGGCAATCATAAAATTCACCAAATAGCTGTAATATCTATAAGACTCCAAATATGTATTACTTAGACATAATATCAAGTACAATATACAATGCATTTTAAATATGTTCATCATAAACTTGTGCAAATGATCTGTCATATAATTATATAGTTTCTTATAGTAGTAGTACCTACCTTAGTAAGCACACAGCAGATGAAAAACCAAATGCATGGCACGACAGGAAAGCAGTTGACTGTAAAATACTTAACAGGGTTCGTTTAAGTTCCTTCTTGGTCGGCTTTCGACCTTTCATCAGTAATGTCAACTGCCAAATATAATAAATAAATTAGGCACACATGTGTAGTTTAAAAATGAACAGTTATATAAATTTAATACAATACCATATAAGTGGTAACGTAAATTCGAAACGATGCTTGGATTGAATGAATGAGTACACCAGCACTTGCATCGCAACATGAAGACACCCACGGGTGCATGAATTCATGACAAGATGTATCTATTGATTTTAATATTTTACTAGCCACTGCCATAATGGAATGAAACAGCTATTAGAGTACAATTGTTTGTATGATTGAAAAATACAACTCGACAAAGTTGCAAACCGACTTTCAACTTGCGACAATAAATTATTTTAAGTTAAAATTTAAATCAAAAATATTTGTATAAATTGAAAACAACCTGTAATATATATTTGAACAGTTACTCACTAATCACTTCAATAATATTAGTCAAAACGCATAATAACGAATTCATTACATTTTAATGTCGAATACACTGAATAGTGAATACTGATCGACTGATCTTTGACCTGAACGTCTTGTATATCCCGTCGTGATTCTGAAATATGAATTTCTTAAAAGTTTCCTACTTTCTCGAATTCTTATCTCCGTACCTCTTATCTATGTCAAACATGATAATATCTTGATAAAGATAAACATTTTTACCAGAAGTCCAGAACCACGCAGCCTGCAATAGCTGCTGGTCTGGCAAGCATAAGTCCGATAATATTAAAAAACAGGTATTTAATATTATTTATATAGGATGTCTTTTCTAGTGATGGGAACAATCGAGTGATTTCAATAATCGAGAAGTTATAACAATCGAGAGATTCACTCGAAAAAACCTCTCGGTCAATTAAGTATTTCTGTGCTTACTGCTTAGAAAAATTATCATCTTCTAAGGCCATGCGTGAGACTAGGATACATATTAACTATTACAATTAATATATGTCTACGCTATGATGTATAAAAAAATATATACATTAATACAATAATACATTATAATATAATATTATAGTTCTATGATACTAGTCGGTAATTTTTATTTTTACTTCACAATCGAAAAGGATATAAATGATAAGGTATGATAGTAAATTCGTAACTTTTCAACAACTGTCAGATCTCTTTCAGTATGCACGTGCCACGTGACGTAGGCGTTGCGTATGGTAAATGGTAATATTGGTTATCATAGACCTTATGGCTTATATACAACCTGTGGAAGTGCCGGAGCCCGGAGGTGGATGTCCTGTCCTGTGGTACTATATTGTTTGATTACTAGATTATGGAATATAAATTTAATTTCTAATTATATAAATCCCAATAGTATTCAATAATTATGAAACGGCCACTAATTATTGTCGCCCTAGTGGAAATTTTCTAGCTTGTGGCTACATGCCTGGTCGTAAATATTTTAATTTTTAATCTGATAAGTGTTTCATTTATCGCCATTCCGTAGACTTCAGTATTATTCATTTTTCATACACATTTTTTTTTTAAATTATCAGTGAAAATTTCTAAATATTCATACATATTTTGAATGTTTCTTTTTTTCAGCTGAGTGAAATAATAAAAATTCCAATCCCAATTGTATTAGCTGAAATTTTGAAGGATAGGGTTTGAATTCAAAAAAAAATCTTGATCGTAATTATATTATGTATTTAAACTGTTTTGATTTTATTTTTAAGTAACCTTTACTGATGGCATGTTAGCAAGTGAGCTACTCACAATGCCGTAGTCGTAACTTGAGGCATTTTACTGCAAAGCTAARGCAAATTTAAATAATTAAATTAAAAAAGAAACCATTTAAAACATAATTAAAAAACTGAGAGATAATTGTCTAACTATAAAAAGAATATAAAATGATCATAAAATATATTTAGTTATAGATCGACTAAGTATTTGAGGTTAGAATTATASATATTCTATGATTTATAAATTTAATAGATCCATAACAGTGACTTATTCAATGACAAAGTACACTTGCCACCAACTGCACGGTAGAACAGTTTCATAATTGCTCATTTTTTAATTTGAAGACACCAAAATTAGTTGTATTAAAATATTGATTTTATAATTTACAAACTGTTATGATAATTTTGATTTAAGGGTTCACAAATGTATTCAATGTAATATAAGCTGATTACATGCCTGTCGGTTACAAACAGCTATAAATTATAGTGTGAAATTTTTTATACAACTAAAAACCAAATTTTAGGAGTTAATTTAACATATCCATTTAGTTTTAATTTATTAAATATATATATATATATATACAAGTGTTTCAATTAGCATTAATAAAAAAATATAATTAATAATGTATGAAGAAATTGAGGTTTGCTGTTATAACAATAGCAGTTTTCATTTCACAATAGGAATTTTGAAGTATAAAATGCATGATATAATATAATATGTTTAAAGAAAAAAATATTGGTATCAATAATTATTAATGTTTCATTCAAAAAAACAAACAAACAAATTATTATGTAAGAATAAATTTATAATAAAGAAAATAATTATGTACCTGACAACAAAATAACACAATTTAAAAAAAAATAAAATAAGGGGAATAACATTTTGAGATGCAAGAATGTTGATGAAAATATGAATTTTAGAAGCCTAGAGATTTGGTATTCATGCACTTCTTATGCTTTGGATGAGTTGAAAGATAACTGAAAAATAAATAAACACAAATTACTATGTTTTATCAATAGCACATTTTAATACAAAATATATTATATAATTATTTAATCGGTTTCAAAATAAATTTTAGGCTTATTGTATTTTTAAAATTAAAAAAATATATAAGTTCAAATAACTAATTAAATATAAATAAATAAAAGAAAACTATAAAATAAAGAATTATTATATGATACATTCAACTTTTTGACTACTAAAGTCAAATATGACAATAGTACCTGAAAGTAAGGAATTTAAAATTCAGCATTTATTGTAGAGTTTTTACTTTATACAAATTGTGTTCTGTTTTACTTGTAAATAAGATGGATGTCAATGGATTTTAGTTAGCCAATAAAATTACTATACTACTTCAAACAAATACAATTTAATTAGGCGGTTTCATAAGATGTTGGAAAAAAAATTTTAATTCTACTTTTATTATTTTAACGCTTGTAATAGATATTCCTAAATTTAATAATTAGTAATACTCAAATAACATCAGGTACCTAATCTTGATTAGTTAAATAATTCAATTCAAAATCAAAATTATAAATATTTATTCCTATTTACAAGTAGCTTTACTATCTTAATACTAATTATAGCAATAATTGTACCATAGTAATTACATTAGTATTTGCTTCCTTAAAACTTTAAATATTTCAATAAATTATGAATTGTTTCCATCTTTGTAATAAAGTAAATATATGCTTACACAGGCAAAACACCTGTGTAGTCCAAAAACAAGAAGTAAGAACGTGACTACACAACAGACCATAAATATTTTTGTTCAATTAGTTACTATCATAATATTAATATTATGTATGGTCCCTATGCTGCACACTTTTAATATCTAGCTCATATATTATTATCTAGACAAACAAAACATTAAAATGTCAAAATAACAACGTACCTGATCCACATACAACAAATAAAAATAATGCCAGCAGCCATGGACTAACAGGTGTTTTATTTTTCTCAGATTTCTGAAAAAATAAGAAATAAATCAACTGAATGGTGATGACTGATTTGGGACGGAATGAAAACAAAACCCAAATATGTATTCTGTTTTGGGATGGAAGAGTTGAAAAACACTGACCGTCGATTTGGGTACGTTGCCTCGCTGGGTAATGTTTTTGCTGGCCTTCTCGTTGGCAATCCTCATCCTCTGTTTAGGTGCCATTATACAAGTGTCGAACGATCGGCGGATGTAGGTGAATGGAAAATATACGTGAATACGTGGCAACGACAACAGACACGATACGAGAGCAAATAACAGTAGAGCACTAGAGTACAGTCGACGTGCACGGAGTACAGAACACTGACGTCATAGAATACAGAAATTGACGTGTTGTAAATAGCGGTGGTCGGTGGCGGAGTAAAATAGTGAATGTGGAATAAGAACAGTTAACAGTTACAAGTGTTACAACGCTTCTGACTGTCGATTGCTCGATTGACCGTGTTTTACAAACTTTGTATGCTCTATGCCGCGTAACTCGTATGGTGGCCGGTGGGTGGCTGTCAGTTTCAGTCGTTTCAGACGTGGTGCGGTCCGCGTTGGCATGTCGTTATCACACACGATTTGTTGCAACTTGTTTATAAGACGCAGACCAGACCAGTCCAATCTCTTTTCTATGAGTCCAGTACTCCAGTGGTGACGTGGGCAGATAATAGGGTCAGCCTAGCCAACTTTACAGTGAAACGATAACAATAACACGGAAAAATGATAGTGGAGTAGTGGACAAAACATTATTATTATGTTGTTCTAAATAATAAAATAATCTCAATTGACTGTGATGATCACAGCATTCACAAGATCGATGCTCATAAAAGATAATAATCGTATATTGTGACGACAGATTGGCACAATTATAATACTCATGATTGTGACACCTTGTCTAATTTAAAATTTGACGACGATAGTTGATAATTAAATTCCTTCATCTAGTTCATCTCAATATCTCCAGTTCTCTCTTGGACCGGGACTACGGGAGTCATGTATTGTGAAGTGCGTCGATCGTATAACAGCAGTCAATTTATTGTTTCGTCGTTTTAATTGTAAATGATAATATTTTTTTGTTAATCGTTCAATTAAATACTTAATACATAAAAAACTTGATTAGAATTCTATGCATAAAAATTATTCAAAATGAATTATTCTGTAATTGTTTTATAATTTTTACATTCAGCCGCAATTTTTTTTGTTGATTTTTTTAAATTCTAAAATGGGAGGCAAAGGATCCAAACATGATCGTGTTATAGATCCATTAACCTTCGACGAAAATGATGCTATCGATAAATTGATGAACTTCAAAGAAATTATTTCTTTGGATGAACTGTTTCACAGGTGGAATTCATACTTAACACTTAACATGAAAAGTCATATTAAACACTTGTTTGCAACCAATAAACCTTGTCGACAACGTGTGGTGCATGTCTACCGATGTTTAGCAACTTGTGAGATGTATCATGAATCTTACCTAAAAATTATGTCAATTGTACTTGCGAAATCAAATATTGAACGGTATACAGTTGATCTTTTAGAAACTATAAATCTTTGTTTAAAAGATACCGATGAGTATGCCTACTGGATCAGAATAGGAGCTAAATCACATGCCATTCTTCAACTTTCATCTCAGTTATCTAAAGACGGTTTGACGGGTGATATTGCTGCATGGGTGCGAGGCAATACTCTTCTTGGACTATTGCATAGAGCTCTAATTACTACACTCTACTCAGTGCCACGTAAACTGGATTTACTTCCAGCTATTAATGTAAATCAAAAATACATACAGTCGTTCAAAACTATTTTAGATCTTGGATGGATAATGTTCATAAAACATAGTTTACCAGCTGACTGTCAAGATAGTTGGAGATTATTGTTTTCAACTACTTCACACGGCGAGAGCTTCCAATCACTCTGTGCATCCATACTTGACCAAGGAAATACAATTTTAATTTTAAAAGATAATTCCGGTAATATATTTGGAGGATACGCTTCACAGTCATGGCTATTGAAACCTAAATTTTACGGAGATTCCAGTTGTTTTGTCTTTTCATTATATCCAAATCTGAAAATATGTGCTTCTTCTGGATTTAATGATAATTTTATGTATATGAATAATGGTCAACATACACTACCAAATGGCATAGGAATGGGAGGTCAATTTGGCTATTGGGGATTATGGATAGATTCAGAGTATGGCATTGGCAAGAGTAGTCCTTCATGTTCAACATTTAATGATTTTTCAATGCTATCAGCTAACAAAGATTTCACAATTGATTCGTTAGAAATATGGTGTGTTAAAGAAAAACCAAAACTAGAAGATGAAGAGGAAGAAAGAAAACTTACTTCAGATAGAGATGATTGGGATATGAATCTATTGGAAATGGCTGGACGTGCAAAATACTCTGATGGATTAAGAGATGAAGATGAATTTTTAAATGAGTAAATTTCAATGACCAATGTTCAATTATTTTATTAGTTTAACTTGACTCAAATGAAAATGATTTTTTGTCAATAAATTGCTTTGTCATAAATCATAATAAATATCTGATGTTGGATTATTATTTTATTTTATTTTTATTTATTTTTTGTTTAGCTTGTGGTATTAATTTTTAACCATAAATACATATTTCTAAAATAACATTAAATAAGTCTGATTTTTTTAATTTAATAAATAATAAAAGCTTATTAACATTTTTAAGGTTTGTTTGTTTTTGTGTGTATTGTTTCTCTATTTATACTCGTATATATATATATATATTTTATGCTAAAATAGTAAAATAATAAAATGATTTATGGAACATGAACAATAACAGTTATAAGGAAACTAAGCTAACTAATATTATTCGAAGAATATAAATTTATTCCTACTAATTTTTTTTAAACATTTTGTCTAGCCCCTATCTTATAGGTAACTTACTATATAATATAAATGCACTGGTTTATTGAGATGAACATTTTTTTTTTTTGCAATTCCTAAAAAATAATTTGTTATAGATTTTATACAAAATTCTAGAAGATAAATTTTTATCATAAAATCATTAAAATTTGCTTCAATAAATTCTTACTTTCCTATTGAAATCATGAAATGGTACACAATTTATGTCATTACACATTTGTATCAACCAGAATTACTTAACTTAGTTAAGTTAGTCTAGATGATTTATCTAGATAATGCCCAACACTGCTTAACTACTTATCAAGAATAGAATATTAATATTTATTAATTTATAAACATTTTAGATGATTAAAATTACAGAACGAATTTATTCAAAAATAGAAGACATTTTTATTTTTACTTAACCTTCAGCAAAGCAAATTACTTGGTATTTTAGTTACCAATGACACCAACCCAATTTAGAACATGGTGTAACAGATGCAGTATGCCCCACACTGTGACATTGTATATTATTTTATAGCTAGAAGCAGTGGCGTGGCGAACTTAATTAAGTTATAAGGCAGTTATATTGTCAGACCCACCAAATACAAAAAACATTAAAAATTTTATTTAAGATAAAATATATTTATTCATTTGAATAATAATACTTTTTTTAACACATCAGATGATTTTTGAGGACACCCACCACCCCTCAAACTGAGGCACGTGCCTCAAATTTAGTCCTTCGTCACGCCACTGGCTAGAAGTATAAAATATGCCTACTATATATGTAGTTGCTATCGTTGCTGATGTAGTTTAAAGCTGACTTTTTAAGAAATTTCTAAAATTAACAGTTTAAATACATTTAGTACATATTGTGTCTGTTTCAGGCACATAGTACTTACTGTCAAAATTATTTTTTAATAATCTACTAAAGATTTCCTAAATTACACAGTGACATAGAATAAAAAAATATGTGATAGATTATAAGCTATGTTATGTTACTACATTATGAATTTTTTTATACACCACTATTAATTCTTAATTCACCAAGCTTAAAAACTTAAAAACAACTCATTTAAATGTTGTTTGAGATATGATAACATTTACAAAATTAATCTTGAATTGAAAATAAAATATGAAAAATTTTCATTAAAAAAAAAATAAGTTAGCGTTACCACTTTTTTCCTACAACAGCAGACCAAAAGGCACTTATATTTCATAAAAATATATTTATTTAACTTGACAATTACAGTCTGAATTTGAATGAATAAAGAATAAAATAATGGTGTCACACTTGGCAAAATAACCTGTTCACAGTACACACTAATTAATCACAAAACATTCATGGTCAGCAAAGGAAATACAGAATGTAGATGGTAATTTGAACAAAAATATTCCTCTTTCCTACAAAACAGTTACTGAAAATAAAAGACAGAGAAAAAAATAAAAATATTAAATTGACTAAAAATTTTAAAATATAATAGTATTATACTCAATCCTATGATTTAAAAAATCTATCAAAAAGTGGTTATTTAACTAGTGGCAAACCAATATAAAAATTCTTATTCAAACTTAATTTAAAATTTAAAAAAATTCATAAATTCAAAATATTAGTAATGTTTGAAAATGATAATATAAAATTGTTAGTAAATAATTATTCTTAACATTAAATTTAGCTTTTTTCATTAAATAATGATTCTAATGTAATACTTGATCAAAATTGTTCAACTTTCATATTTAATTTGATAAAACTATATAATAATTAGTAAAAATTGTGTTTATTTTTATTTAAAAATAAGGATTATACACCAGATAAGGTTAAATAAAAATATAAACATTTATATTTGAATGTATAAGAATATAGTTTTACTAAGACAAAATATTTGTGTAAATTCTTAATTCTAGTTTAATAATCATAAAAAAAAAATAGGTAAGTACGTAGTTGTTTATGGTTTTTTTGTTATCTTGTCCAATTCAACTTTAGCTTTATTGATTTCATCAAAGTTTTTTTCTATTTCAGCTTTTCGAAATTCAATATCCTTTTTAATTTTGTCTACCTGTTGCCGTTGCTATTTAAAAAATGCATTTTGTTCAATTAAATAAAATTGAAATTATCAGAAGAATGTACACTAAACTTACCTGTATGTAAAAATATTCTTCTTCGTTAGCAGCTTCACGTTCACCCATAGCACCACCTGCTTCTCGAATAGAACCTCCACCACCTCCGCCTTTTCCAGCGCCACTACCCAAATTACCCAAACCATCATTTTTGTACCTGTTGAAACTGAACAAAAAAGAATAATAAATAGCCGATAAAAAGAAATCAGATAATCGAATAGCAATAATGAAAATCTGAAAAGAATCTCACCTCATTGCGATTGAATTTATGGAACAGAGCGGTTTTGATGCCTTCGCCAAGTAAATGTTCATTGCAAGTTGTAACGGTCTAAGATATTAGATTATTTTGTATAAGGCGTTTAAATGTAGACTTTCAACTATCAACGACAATATTGCGTCGAAGCATGTACGTAATACAACAATAAATAAATCTAAACTCTAGATAATATATTATGTAGTTAAATATTGTTCAGCACATAAATTATTTAGTGATGAACTGAGGTTGTCGAAATTATATTTAAGAGTTAAGACTAATATATTTAAATTATAACACAAGTACACAACGAGTAGGGTCTGAGATTCACGAATGCATTGCGCAATATGACGCGCCAGTGCACCACACTACCACAAAACTACAGCAGGATGAACAGTCACTGCAATCTCGATTTACAAGTTTACTAACGGGAAAACAAAAATAAATGCACTAATCCAAAATACCATTATGCTATAAATATAGTATGTTTTTCTTTGTGATATAATATTACAATAACTGCAACTGTGCCCAGACAGTCGCAGGCCTGCCAACAGTGCTAACAAACCACCAAATTTAAACAATAATATAATATATCGCCCGCCTTTCACACTCATCAGTATATAAAAAATTAAAAACCATTATATATAATCATTTATGTTGAGAAAAATTTGAAATGGATATAATAAAATTATAGGTAGAGCACTAGAGCCACCGATTAAGATAAACTTATAGTCTACAACAGAAAAGTAATTACTATTTGATCTTAGACTATTATAGTAAAAGGAAAAAAATCCCCGTTAATAAAATCATACGAAAAAACATGATTGTACGTATTACATTTATTACAACATATAATAATTATATGTTACAGGTATATAGGTATATTTTACAAGTTACAAGTTGCAAAAAAATTTACAACATTGATGGTAGGGAAAAAAGTCTTGGGGCTAAAAAGTCTGTATTCTAAATATAATATCTAATAATTATATAGTCATATAATAAGTAACTACTAAATACAAAACTGATAAAACAAAAATAATAGCTAATAATTAAAAAATTATAAAAAAAAATATCTCATTAAATCTTAGTTCAAAATATTATTAAAAAAATATAAATATCTATACCATTAAGTTTTAGATGTCAGAAAAGAAAAAAAAATTACATAATTATAAAAATCCTAGTTGTATTATCGCTGTAACTTAATATTTTGCGCTATAGCTTTTAAAAAATCTTCAAATATAATATAATATATACTAATTTATTATACATATATACATGACCCATAATCTCATTTATTATCATAACGTATATTATCAGTTTTTGTGCGAAGATAATAAAATACAGCTTTGTAAATTTAGTTTTTATTTTTTATTTTTTTATTTTAATTTAGTTTTTATATTCAAAATGCTACCTCTCGGGCTCTCATAACCCTCAATACTTACTATTATACTGTACGTTTAAGGGGTTATACTATTTTTCGGCACAATGACCGAATTTTAAGACCAACATTGTACGATGTAAACTCGAATCGATAGATTACTTCTTTAAAGAAAACAAACAGTAATGAGCATCATTAATTCGATTCGTAGATTTTTATTCCATTTGCCTGGCAAACGTTTTGGATATTACAGGTATACTAATTATTTTTGTTCGTAATGTTCGTATTAATAAAAAATATTTATTAATTGAGATTTGTATATTCTGTTGTTTTTTTTTTTAGAGCTATTCCGATATTCGTCATTGCTGGTGCTGGTTTAGAATATTTGATGATAACTTGGCGTCCGTTTGGTGTAAATTTTTATGAAGTTTATAAACGTAAACAAGCCAAAGAAATAGCTGCAAATAGATTAAAAGAAGAACACTAATGTCTGGAAATATATCAATTGCTGCTTATGTGAAATTTTCACTAATGGCTATAATCTCCATGATGTTTGGATCACAACTAGTTCATAACCAATATAAGCCATTGGATGATTTAGAAGATTATGTCGAAAAAGAAATAGAAAAACTTAAAACTGCTGATGAATCAAAAGTATTATGAATTGGCAGATCATTTAGTTAAGACATTTTTTAATTATTATTTACTAATGATTATAGAAAATAATAACTAATAAAAATATAAAAAAAAATTGATGTTTTTAATTCCAAAAATAGTTTCCACAATTTAAGTATTCAATAATTTTCTTCAACTACTTACAATATTCTACAAGATATATTATAGTTTGTTTACTCTAATATTTTTAGTAACTTTACATTGTTTGAATTGTTTCATCATTTTGAAAACAATTACAGACAAACAGACAATCGTAAATTTTAGATTGTTTCAACATTCTACAAGGAGTATTTAGTCACCACTTAGTATTTGTGAAATTGTTTTAAACGATAACCTCAGGTTAGGCCATTTGGATTATATTTTTTCAGTGTGAAAAACTTAATTTAACTTACAGGATAGATATTATATGAAATTGTTACTTAATAGAGGTTTTCTGTGTTATTTAGATGTTGAATCCATACATTTTATAGTTAAGCCTTTAGARGACGTCTCAATCATATGTTTGTATCTATCATAAAAGCTTACAACTGCAAATTTTAGTTTCAATCATATTTAATCGACCTCTAATAAAAGTTAAATGTTGTATTATTTTTTTGGCCATACACAGCATATGCTTTTGATATTAATATTATTTTTAGATTAAAATAATTTTTAATATGTACAGTTTCAAATATGTCATAACTTACTTAAAAATAATAAAGTCGATAAAAGCCTATGTGTGGTTCTAAATAATAAGTTTACTTTTATAATGTGTCAATTTAATAAATAAATGAATAAATTCACTTTAATATCAAAACCATACTATTGAAACTGTAAAACATAAATGCAAACATAAATTTTATAAATTTTACTTGTGTAAGATGGATACAATACAAGAGAGTCCTCTTCAGGGGCAGATCCTAGAGTGCTGTGGCTTTTACATAATCCATTTATTTCTTAAAAAAAATTTAGCTTTCCCTCCCTTATTTCAGGCTTTTGGATTTGCACAATGCACCTGATAGTCTTTAAAACGTAATATATAATCTAGAAACCATTTTAAAAATAATCATCAAATAAAATATTATTGTAGTACTCACATCTATTATTATTATACCATAGTTAAGATGATACAGAACTACTCCAATAAACCTCTTTTCAAATCAGTAGAGGATTTGATTGGGGACCGGTCCAATGTGTGATCTACCAATAAAATATGGCTGGTCCAATGTATAACTAACTATAATTTTGCTTGTTATATTCATACTGCAAAAATATTTTTTAAATCTGATAAAAAAATCACCAAATATTTTAGTTTGTATTGGGTGGTATAATTGCCACCATTCTTCTTTAAGTTAGCTGTCTAATAATAGTGGAGATGTACCTTCTACTTTTATATTATACTTGGACTTGACTAACTTTCACAACGACTCTATTGTTTGAGTATGAGYTCTAGTATTMGATCCACAAMATTTTCAGTATGATATACAGTTTGATGAATAAATCCGTGGTTCTTCAGAGAACTATATGYTCGCCACTGATYGCTTTAAATCTTTATACCAATTTCTACCTCGCTTTCTATTATTAGTWTAAGCGTTTTTCGATTCCTTTTTTCTACAATGAAAAATCGACCTTTAGTATTGTTGTCTTTATTACACCACAAACCAAATACCCACACCGCTGTATTCTATTTCCATAATTTTGTTGGTTATTTTCTACGGGGGTTTCATTTTCATAATTTGAAGTTTCTTCAGTATCTTCATGTGGTCGTGGGTTGTAATTATCTCGTTGTGAGCGATCGTGATTATATTTTCGTTAAAATATAGGTATCTGTTATCGGTAGATCACACGTTGTACCTACAACGCTTTTTCACAGATAGCCGTTTATCTGTAGATCACACATTGGACCGGTCCCTTTGATTGACTTCTAAGGAGGGGGAATATCTTTTTGAACTAAAGATACTATTTTTAATTTAACATTATGAAGTACTATACAGGTTTCTAAAATAAATTATTATTTATAGGTTGTTTACATTGTTTAGGAGGACATGGGTTCTATTACTTTTAATAATCAAATAAATAACAAGTATATAATCTATTTATTTTTTTATTATTTTTTTTTTCATTATAAATAATATTTAATTATTATTATTTTTGATATTCATACAAATATCGTAGCTCATGATTGTATGAGCAATACAATACAAAGGTATTTATAGTTTTACAGTATTTAATAAGCCTAGTTCTAAAAAAAGGCTTAACATCCCAACAGTTTAAATCTACCCTTACAGACCTAAAAATGCAGTTTCAAACTGTGCGTGTAAAATTAAATATGACAAAAATCCAAATTCAACTAATTTTAAAAGATGATGGATAAACAATTGACTAAATTAAAGTATATGCAATGAATGTAACAAATAAATTAAAATTATCTGCTTTTATCAAAACATAGAATTGTACTTAAAATAGATTTAGTAAAACAATGGATAATAAGTTTATATTGAGATCAATGCTTTTACCAATCAAAAAACAGAAAAACATATTATATAACTACATTACATGTTACATTCTGACACAAATTGATCTGCAAGGGTGAGAATAGTCAAGATTACATTATTTATACTATATATAATTATTTTTTAATTTACTTATGTATAAACCTTAATTTACAGATTAATAGGGATGCCCTTATATATATATTTATATAAATTTACATAGAGCTTAATATTATTTGAACATTCTAATAAGAGAAAAAAAAAAAACTCACAACCGTTAATATCTAATTTGTTTTATCTTGAATATTTTTCTCATAAGAAAATTTCTGTAAAAAAAAATTCCAAAATGTGGATAGTTTTCCCAAATTTTACTTATAAAGTACAGCTATAGTTACATAATGATTTCATTTTTGTAGAAATTTCGTCCATTTTAAAAGGAATTAAAAATTTAAGTTACTTTCAAATTATGGAAGACTATACCTACAATTTTATTAATACTATACTTATGACACAGTTGTCAGACATTGGACGGAGGTAAACTGTGCCAGTGGAGTCTATCGGATTGGTTGTGGTTCATTAGCAGAAGCTGCTGCTGCAGTAGTTGGATCATACTCCATAACTTCTTGATAGATAAGCTCTTTCCATTGATCAACAGTATGTTCACGTTCATCTACTGAATGGTCCCATGGTCCTGGTGCTGGTGCATTTACTTCACTTTCATCATACCAAACATTTATATATGGATGTAGCAATGCGTCATCCACAGATATACGCTTTTCTGGATCAATAACTAGCATTCGAGACAAAAGGTCACGTGCTTGGCTTGCTATATACAACAGATTAGTATCCGTTAAATTTAATTTTGAAATTATTAAGCAAATAAAATATTGGATGTAAATTAGAATTAACTATTTCAAACTTCAAAAATAATACGTATTTTGTAAATTTTTATGCAATTAATGAACTATTAGTATATTATAAAAATAAAAATATTACCTTTTAATTTATTATGTTCAGAAGAATCTGATGGAAATAGTACATCAGGGAATAATCGATCAAATGAATAACCTGGATAACGAGGTCTATTTTCAACATAATTTCTAACTGTGGGTTGTAACCTTCTCATAAATTCTTGTGATGGTGTGCCCAATTGTTCTATAGTTTAAATGAATATTTAAGTTATATAATTAATAGTATAAATAATGTTTAAATTTTGCTGATGAAAATATTTTAACTTACCTATAATTTTATTCCATTGATCTATATGATCTGTTCCAGGAAACAATACGCCACCTCTTATCATCTCACCCATAATACAACCTACTGACCATATGTCAACATTTTCCTTATAGCCCATGCCTAAAATTACCTAAAATATTAGGTAATATAATATTAGTTATATAATAACAATTATATTAATATTACTTATTTTATGGTTGAAAATAAAATACAATATATAATATTTACCTCTGGGGCACGGTAGTATCTAGTAACGACATACGGAGTCATCATAAATGTAGTTCCAGCTGTTCGAGCTAATCCAAAATCCAAAATCTTTAATGTGCAGTCAGATTTAACAACAATATTACTAGGTTTAAGGTCCTAAAATAATAACATATTACTAGAATTCAAATTATTAATAACAATTTGTACTAAATATTTAGAATACAAACTCTATGAATAATTCCTGCTGAATGTAAATGTTTAATGCCACATAACATTTGATATAAAAGATATGACATTCGTTCATGATCAAGATCCATTTGGATCACCTGGCATAGATTAGCATCCATTAGTTCCATAACCAAATACACATCTTGAAAATCATCTAATGTCCTTTGTGGCGTGAAGGCATTTAGCAAACCAATAATCTAGTGATTAAAAATATTTTATACTTATATATCCTATTGTTTACTTAATTTATGATGCATACATTTTTATGATTTACTAATTTCATAAGTTTGAACTCCCTATATGCTCTTTTTGCATGTGTTACATTTTGAAATGGTCTGGATAGTTTTTTGATAGCAACGCTTTGTTGAGTAATAGTGTCCATGGCCGCACTAAAATAAATTAAAAGTAAGGTAAATCATATACTACAAAAAATGTATTAGTACTTACACCACCATGCCTTGGGCACCTAAACCTTTGGGAACAAGATCAACATATCGTCTGGGAACTGAAAATTCAGTATCACCAAATACTAAAGTGTAGAACATATCAGCTAATTCAGTCATAGTGTCAGGTTTACTTTGAGGTCTTTGGACAAACCTTGATTGTGTTCCAAGCATTTTGTGGACAACCTCAAATTCAACTTTACCAAACACAAAAACAAACAAAAAATAGTGCAACTACAGAAAAAAAAATGTTTATAAAATAACATTATAATAATACATTCATGCTATTCATGCTTTCAAAAAAAAAAAAAAATGCCTGAAAAAATAATTTTAAATAGACACTAACTACAATATCTTACTTAAAATACAGCGCAAAATAAGTAATATATTTAATCACAATATCAGCTAAATTAAAATGTTTATAAAACATTTTAACTTAACATTGATTAAATTAAGAATAAATCTAATAGAGTATCAAAA